CATACAGGGGCATCAGTGCTTCACAAACACATCTTGTTTTATGCCTTACCCCATAAACGAAGTTTTTGGGGTAAGTTGTTTTTTCCCTACCCTTCTGTCTAGCTTTCTGTCTGTTTATCTGCAAAAAATTAACTTACCAATATTTTTTGAGTGGATGAGGCCATGGCTCTCATATTTCAAATGTGTATCCCTCAGGGGCGTAGCAACAGGGGGGGGGGGCAGGGGGGACCTGGCCCCACCACTTTTTTTCCCAACCTTACTTTACTATAGGAAATGTTAATTGAAAGCCTGGTTGCCCCCCCCTCCCCCCCGACTTTTAGACTTTTAATGAGGAAAATGTAGTATTAGAATTGGTACTAAAAGTACTTGAATCTGAGAAAAAAAAGTTTATCCCCCCCCCCCCCCCCCCCCCCACGAAATAGGATTTTCGACTTTGGGCAACTTTTTCCTTTTTTTTTTTTTTTTGCTTGTCAACTTTTTCAGGTATGTAAAAAAAAAATTTTCTCTGGCTGCCCCCCCCCCCCACTTTCAAAAACGATGCTACGCCACTGTCCCTTGTGACAAATCCTTTCCTTGGGTACCACCAATTTTGACCTTGCAGTTTGGCCCACTTTTACAAAGTGGCAAGACCTTTCATTGGATACCAATAACCTTGACCTTTTCACCTTGAAGATATCTGTACTTATGAAAAAACTTTAACCTTGACCATAACTTTTGAATGGTAAAGGCTAGGGTTTTCATACTTCACATATGTAATCCTTATGAGAAGACCCTTTATTGGATACCAAGAACTTTAGTCCTTGACCTTGGAGTTTGACCTACTTTTGAAAAACAATCCTTGACCACAATTTTTGAAGGGTTTGGACAATTGTTTTCATACTTTACAAATTTTATCCTAGTGACAAGACCTAAATTTCACTGCATACCAACAACTTTGACCTTGGAGTTTGACCTTTCAAAAACTTATCCTTAACTTTTTTCAAGGCCAACTTCCTTTCACTTCCAATTTTTTCCTGTATTTCCTTGCTATAAGTATACTGTGGTAAAAAGTGGGAGGCAAACCATTTTCTATAGTAAAGGTAATATTGGGAAAAAAAGTGGGGGGGGGGGGGCATGCCCCCCCCCTGGCCCGCCCGGTTGCTACGTGCCTGGATCTGGTTGTGAGAAAACAAATTCATTCATCTAAGTGCCACTCAATGGCATAAAAGAAACGCTACACATGTTTAGGCCATTTATTTATTTTTACCAGATCTTGTCAATGACTTGTTTTCTTACACTGATAATATAGATTTAATTTTTTAATCAATTTAAATGAGAAATATTTCATGTAATAAATTCAGTGGGAAAAAAACCTCATGTACAATTATTACTGTAATTGTAAACATAGTAAATTTTGCTGCATATTCTATTTGGCTCCTTTGGTGGAAAGCAACTTTTAAATCAGGCATGTCACTAATTGTCAAATGCATCACCCAACTTTTTGAACATAGTTACATTCATATCTTGCAAATACAAAAATGTTTTAAAAAGCCAATGCATAGAAATTGAAGCATATCAAAGTTGCTGTCAAAATATTTCTATTTGCCATCTCTAGAAAATTAGACAGCAATAATGTAAACAGGACTTTTTATTTAATGACAAAACATCATTCTAGTAGGAGCTAAATATAAATATAAATAAGAACCTCTTCCGACATGAGCTGAACAAGAATTCAAAACAATGATTTAAAGAATTATGCATAAAAAGTTATGAATAAAGTAAAAAGTTTACGTACATGCATCAGTAACAAGATCCAGTCATGTAAAAAAAGTATCCAAAAGAATATTACAACGAATTTACATCACAGATCAATCTATGTTATTATGCAACATCTAAATATCTAAACAGCTCATTACGGAGATTTAAAATTTGTTCATGTAACAATAAACACATAACCTTGAATTTAAATAAACTTAAAACTTAGGTCTTTAACAACAAAATAGAATTCTCAATTAAACAATACAACAGTAAAACTTTTAAGACTAGAAGAACAGTAATATTGCAGTCATGGTTAAAAAAAAATCACAGATTCCTTTCATCACACCATGATTGCATGGCCTTGTCTTTTCAAGACAAGACCAATGATATGCTAATTACTTTGGTAAAAATTAAAACATCATTCATTTGTAGTGATAAAAAATCTTTTACAGTAAGAGTATATAGAGCCCAGTTTTGCTTTACAGATGTTTTAGACTAGATCTCTTCTATATACCTGTAGGCTTATTGGTATCAGAAGATAAGATCAAGAAAATATAGTTCGATCCCTCCAGTACATAAATGGACAAGTAAAAAATTAGTCTATACTCTGTTACAAACAGTATATAAACCATATAGCCATAATTTAACATCTAGCTGATGTTATTCCAGGTACTTTTTTTAAACATGCATCCAGCTTTCAGCTACAAATACTACATGCATGTAACAGTATAATTAATTGTTTAGACTATTAGTTGGTCATTAAAGTTTATAGTTCTGCAACTGCATTTCATTATTAATACACAGTGAATACAATGAAACAGCTGCCAACTACAAAACTTACTCTCTCATTTCAACAATATCCATGCAACATCTCTTCAATTCCATTGTGCAAAACACTAAACATCCCCTCTTCAAAGAATTCTTATTCAGAGTTATACATGATACACACTACAAGCATCATCACGGCTTTCTACTGAGCTGATACCTGAGTATTAAGTCACACATCACATACTTTGGTAAGTGTCCTTTGAGAGTGTTTGTTGATCATCCTGCAGGAAAAAAAAAGAACTTTCCATCAAATGCAATTTATAAGTAAAAGATGTTTCACTAGACAATGGCTTGAATTATTTCAACAATTTGTAGTTAAGTTATTGTAAATGTATTATGGTGTATCATGATAATTTATTTGGATGAAGGGTGGTGATGAGTGCAAAGCATGAGTCTCACCTCTTATAGTCCAAATAAATCAGGGTACGCTATCATAAACATTCAATAACTTTCTCATATCATATTGGCCAATCAAAACATTAATAATTGTCAATGTCACAATTTTTCAAACATTACCGGTATTTTAATTACACCAAAAAAATCCTTTGTCAGATGACCACTAATAGCAATGTCATGAGTCGTGAGTCCGCCGTTGGACCCCTGTAGCATTAACATCTTTTGGGCAAATAACAAATTTTGATTTTTTTTCTTATCTCTTAACTACGTAATCAAATTTAGCCATTCTGTGATAAATAACTTGTTACGCGTGCATTTGTGGTGTCAACTGAATCCTTTCTCACCATTTCTTTTAACATTAATCACCTATTTATGATTTATGAAATTTATGAAAGTTTTGGTTTGATTGAAGCTATTCAATGAGAGAAACAAGCCCTTAAAATCAATTGAAAGCCAGGGGTCCAATAGGAACGTTTTTACTCAGGACCCCTGGCATTGCAAGGATGGTGCCCACATGAATTATCTTTCCTTCCTGCCAGTATTTTCTCATATGTGTGTGTAGAAAAAGGAAGATCAATTGCAGCTTCCAAACTTAATTTGAACACTAATTGTTTTTTTTTTTTGTTTTTTTTGTTTTTTTTTTTTATTTTGAAATTTATAGGCAAACCTTTGGATATTACAGATGAAAAAATCTGAAGTTGAAGAAGGGAAATTCACAGTACATCATATATGAACTAACAAGATATTATGTCATAAATGAATATGATGTCAATCTACTGCAAACTTAAGCCATCTTGAAGAAAGTGTCATGAAGTTTCGCGTTTTATAATAATCAACGTGTAAGTCTCTTGACTGTAGTTTTAATTATTATTGAATATCAAACTGTTTTAAATTTGTTTAATTTCTCTAGAATGATACTCAGAGTATTCAAGACGAAAAATATATTGCAAAAACCTGACATAGAAATGCTCCTGTTTGCAGGACCTTGAATGCAGATGGAATTTTTATGTGTGTGAATAACAGGCTAGTGCAAGCGATTATTAAGAATCAAATTTTAATATTTTATGAAAATTCAAGAGATTATACTCGAAATAAGTCTTGCTTGGGAATGGAAATGTTTATGTTTCACTTTAATATACAAGTTTCAACTAACTATCTCTGAGTCACTACATCTCAGACTTTTTTTTTTTTTTAATTTAAATTTCATTTCAACTTTCACATTTAAATCAAACAAGTATATACAAAAGTATGTTCACAAATATATCTTCCTTCAAGTATCTATTATAGATAGCGTATACAAGTATTAAATTTACTAAAGGACATCCACATACATAAATTCACATTTAATTAAACACATGTGAAAGTTGTTTTAATATATAGGATAGAAAAAGGAGGAGAAGAGGAAAGAGAGAGGGAGCGAGAAAAGAACATTAAAAAGAGAAAATCAAAAACAAAAAATATATAGGGGGCATAGTGTTGTTTTTTTTTTCAACCCCCGAAAAATGAAAGCAGTAAGAAAGAAAAGAAGGAAACTGATAGGGTAAAACAAAATTGAAACATATTTACAAACAGCAGGTTTCGTAGCCTCTGATGTGGTCATAACGAAGAGAAAAATTAGCCGAATCGGGCTTATCTGATGTTTACATCTCAGACTTAGTACCATTCTGTATTGGAGCATTAAAGACTTTCAGTTTTGCGATACCAATGGCATATCATATAAAAAAAATATTGTAGGTAAAGATGAATAAAAAAAAAAATAAGTTATATATAATAAAATTAAGTTATAACGAAGTTGCAAGGACCTATGATATTACTTCGCTATATCCGTATTCATTATAATCCGTATGGGGAATTCGTTAAATTTATATAACTGGGGTTCTAAGATAACTTTGCAATATCTGTGAATTCGCAATATCCGTGTTCGTACTAAACAAGTTTTACTGTAGCAACGTCAATTACCTCATCCTCTGAAGATTCGTGGGAACTCTCAAACAAAGAATCAAATTGTAAATTCCCCTCAGACAAGGCAAGATCTGAAGTCAAAACATCTGATTCCTTCTGCTGTGGATAAACTGTTAAAATGTAAATTTAGATTGAATAATGTTGAAAAGATTCTCTTCCTAGCTTCAATTTTTGCTTCTGATTTTTTTTTAAACTATTGTTCATGGAACTTCCAAAACGATGAAATTAAATGCATACACAAAACTTTTAAATGACAAATCAAGGACATAATATTAATGTATCTACATGTACAATAATACATACCCACTGCACAAGGCTTTTCACTGTGAACTCCTGATTTAACTTTATCCAAGGAAGAAGTTTGTAAACTTTCTGAGGACAGAACTGAAGAAAAATTCATTTTCCCTCCAACTTCATCTAAAAATTATCAATAAACTTTAAATGCTAAATATGATTAAATCACATTATTTTACCTTATAATGATTATGTGTTGGTTGATTTTATGTTTGCAAGTAAATCATATCAATTTAAGCTCTATCCTATTGTATGAACCTGTAAGGACAGGTATTGCCAAAAATTTTGCATATCAAACAAAATTTCACATATCAAAATTTCACATATCAAAATTTCCCCCAAAATATCATATAATAACATCAGAATTAGCTGCATTTATGTAGCCCTCTCCTTTTTTCTCTCCAGAAAATATCAGATAAAAATATCGGAAAGGGCTACATTATTGCAGCTACTTCAAAATTACTTTGCATTTAATTTTTACTTTAATTTTTAGAGAATCTCTATAATTTTTTTTTTATAGATATGCTTTAAAAACGTTAGGCGTTACTATATTTCTTAAATATTTATGTAATAATTAAGCAAACTTTGGATTCTAAAATGGACTTGTCTCTCTGTCTTATTGTTATTATTTATTGTTTTACTTGAGAAAATTTTTACAGATTTTTTCCTATATATTTCAGTGTAAATTTTAATTCCTTTTTTGTGACCCTACCCTAACCCACAATAATGATTTGAACAACTTAAACTACACAATCTCAGAAAGCTTTTACATACACTTTCCTGGCCCCATTGTCCTGAAGAATATTTTTTTAACTATATTTGTTCCCTATTGATGTCCCACCCTACTCTGAGTGAAAGCCTATGTGAACAAGTTAGAATACACTACCTCAAAAAACATCTAAGTTTCAATATTTCCAGCCATTCATTCCTAAAAAGAAGATTTTAAAAAGATTTTCCAATGTATTTCAATGTAAAACTTTCATTTCCTTCTGTGGCCCCACACTATCCCTAGGGACCATGATTTGGTTACTTTAAAATATTCACTACTTCAGGAAACTTCCACATTTCACTATTTCTGGCCCAGTTGTTCTTGAGAAGATTTTTTTAATGACCCAACCCTATTATATCTTTTCTTGATAATATCCTCTCAGAAAAGGCTTGGTTCTTCATTTTCATAATTTAAACTCTCCTTTACCTAAACATGTTTTGTACCAACTTTGGTCAAAATTGGCCCAGTGGGTCTTAGTAAGAGATAAAAATATGAAGTTTACAGACAGGCAGCTATACAGAGAGACAGATAGATGACAGACAACAGGTGATCAGAAAAACTCACCTTAGCTTTTGCTTCAGGTGAGCTAAAAAGGTCTATGATAAACAAACCATTAGTGAATATGTCTCAGTTTTTGAATAATGATTAATATTATATTCTTGTTTATTTGATCTAATGTAATTAATTTGATGAAGATTTTCTTTCATAGAAAAAACTTCAGCATAATACTTCATTTGAATGTGTTCACATTTTCCCCCTTTGTTCATGTACCTGGAAGGCTTGATGAGGCAACAGAGGCAGTGGTTACTTCATTTGAATACTGTTTTTCTCTTTCCATTGATGGTTGGTCATTGGTTTCACATACATTCTGTACTGCTTGTGTTGGGACTGTTGCTTGGAGATTTTGCTGGCTTTCATCCTCTTGTCCTCCGACTCTTATTACACAAGTAGTGGTATTTGCAGGAACTTGAGGGTTAGGGTCCAAAATTAATGACTGCTCTTCATCTTCATTTTTTCTTTCTAAACCTTCATTTCTTATATTAGCTCTACTGGAGAATACAAGTCTCAGTTTCTGAGCAAAATGGACACATATACTCTGGTCACCTAGAATAAAAAACATCATACATCAAAATAATACTGATTTTGAACCATCTGATTACTTAAATAATTTAGAACTTAATTAGAAATAAAACTTAATTAGAAATAATTTAGAATTTGACAACGGGAGTTGAGACTACAATTCCACTTCTATTAGTCCAGGGCATAACTTAAATAAGCTGCAGACCTGCAGTTAAATAACTTAACTGCAGACCTGTAGATGATGACTACCGGTAGATGATTTTTCATCCGTCCAGATAGTGGGTCACAGATCTACAGCTAAGGTAAATTACGGAACAGTTCTCACCTGAGTCACCTTGGACCTGCTGTTCTCTAAATTTTTTGTCCATTTTCCATAAAATATTTTGTAGCCCTACCCTAGCCCCAAAGGGTTACAAGTTACCTTAACTTGAATCCATACACCACAACTTGGTGTTTCTGTATTACCGGGTAATATGGATAACATGACCTTGCTATATTCTCCAGAATATTTGCTGTTCAGATTTTCCTTCAGATTATATCAGGTATATATGAAAAATTACATACTGAAACTCAAAAGAAACACAACACCCTAATTTTTGTGGAGAAATTATATACAAATTATAACTAAATAATGTACCAAAAAAGTAAGGACATCTTTAACTTTGCCAAATCAGTTATTTAACAGTTGAATGATTTCATTGCATTACCAGAAGATTTTTAGAAATTCAAGAAATTGCATTCTAATAAAATATTTGACAATATCTTAGGTTTTCAAGGTGTTGTAGTTGTGAACTCAAAATATTGTCAAATATTTTATTAAAATACAATTTTAAGAACAAAACTTGGATTTCTACTTATTTCAGTTTTAGATGTTCACATACCTGAAGACAACCTCTTCCTTATGTAAAAACAGCATATAGAAGCACAGACCAGGAAAGTTATTACAGCAATACTACAATGTAGCACAAAAATTAAAGCGATTAAAAAAATTAAAAACTTAAGCGAAAATAAAGTTTTCAGAAATAAAAATTAAATGTTATATTACATTTCTTAAGAAAAAATTTATCACAACATAGATTGCTTTAATTTTTTACGAGAGGTTTCTTTAATTTTCTTCAAGACAAGACAAGACTTTAAACTCAAAAACATACAGGCACATATTGTGGCTAGAGCACAAACAGACCAAATCTGGTCTACACTGGTAGGTTAAACCCCTGTCACACCAGGGCTGCGTCCTCACGGCGACTGCACGGCGTCCTCAAAAAATGCAAAACGCCGAGGTGATCGCAGTAGAGTCTCCTACAGCGCCGTGACAACGCGGCGAGATCTCCACTGAACGCCGTAGGGTCGCGTAGGGTCTCCTAGAACGCCAGGGGACGGCGATCACTTTGGGCATGCACAAAGTACGCGCCGTGTGATCGCGGTCTGATAAAAACGCAGTAGAAACGTAGTATGATCGCCGTAGCAGCGCGGTGAGATCTCCAACAACGTAGTAGGAGCTCCGTACGAACGCCGTGAGGACGCACATGATCGCAGCACGAACGCAGTGATAGTAGACTGCGCTTCCACGGAGTCCTCACGGAGATGTCGCGGAGTCCTTGGAGATGTCACTGCGTTTCTATCGCGTTTTTACGGCGCTTCTAATGAGATTTATCGTCATGTGATTTTTTCGATTGCAATTACACGGCGACAGCACGCAGTTGTCACTGCGATCATTGCGCTCCCATGGCGTTTCTACAGCGTCCGTTGGCGATCACAATGCGCTTTCACGGCGTTGTTAGAGCGTTGTTAGCCAGCTCACAAAACAAGAGCAATGGGATCATATCTGATCTGCAATAATTCTAACGTATTTGTTGAACTAGGTGCATTTTAGTGGGAAAAAAATGGAAGAGAAAATTACACCCTAACTTGTTCTGTTGTTTCATTTAAATTTTGTAGAAAACTTTTCAGTGTGTTTATTTTATTTTATTTTATTTTTTTTATTTATTTATTTATTTATTTATTTATTTATTTTTTTTTTTTTTGCATTCATAATAAATTAAAGAAAATCTAACAGCACATCTGAACCGATAAAATTGAAATAAAAAAGGAATTTAATCTTAAAACTATTAATAATTCAGTAATAAATTATTTAAATAGAACATTTTTTATATTAAGAATATTTCTTGGCATGATTAGAGTCTTTTCATCGTGTAACTTGAATCTTTAAACAAAAATGTTTTACATTCCTTCTGAATATATATCAATGAGTATAGAACGCGTTGTGAACGTATTGTGAACGCAGCCAGCGCAGTGACAACGCCGTGAACACGAGGTCAAAACTCCTAACGCGCCGTGAAAACTCCGCGGAAGCGCAATCAATCGCCGAGAGATCTCCGTGGGAACGCAGTAGAACGCCGTGAGATCGCCGTAGAATCGCGTCCGTCGCCGTAGGGACGCCGTGACATCTTCATATTGTGAAAATCTTACAGAAAATTGTGAAATTTTCCTGCGATTCCACGGCGATTTTAAAAAATTAACAACGCAGTAATGACTCCGTGTGAACGCAGCTTGGTGTGACAGGGCCTTTAGGGCCATTGATAAACAATATCATGGTGCATTCTATTAAGAATGAACTTACTTGATATAATTGTGGAATCATTTTAATTATTTAATCTTGATAAATTTTTCCTCTCAACCCTCTTAATTGTATCTCTCCCAATTAAAATAATAATATATAATTTATAATTTTATTAAAGATATATAAAGACAATCAATAGCCTGACCTACTATTACCCATGTATTTTACACCCACCAATAAGCAGGAAAAACCAAACTTTCTTAAAAGCTGCAGCTATATAGAGTCCTTGATTTATTGGCCTATAGAAGTAAGGAATCTTTTATCCCCATGCAAAATAGGAAATGAAAAATGTTGACATCTTACCACTCAAACCCTACAAATTTATTCCAGAAAAAAATAAGTACTTTATTTTCAAAAAAGTAGGCCGTAAGTCATCAGGCTCCTAAGAATCATAGTCACTGTGAAAGAATAAATCTGAAACCCAACCATCTATTGAGGCATATTCAGTCAATTTAACAAAAAAAAACAAACAAACTTAAATCCACATTTTATTTAATCATATTTCCAATTTATATTGAATGCCTGATTTATGAATCTGATGATCAGATTACCTTAAACAAGAGGTGCTTGTGAAACATACCCCCACCTTTCCCATTGACAAGGGGCATTACTCTGACAAATCCTGCTTGACTGTGCCCAAAACACAAGTTGACCTAGATATTCTTATGATAAATCTGTATACTTATTTTCATTTCAGTATGTGCAACCTCTGCAAAGAAAATGAAAGGAAACAGAAAATAATCGGAATTTTTCCTACTACACATACTAGTTGTCAGCTGTTTCAACTAGAACTGTCCAAACGGGACAAAATACCACCCGCTGGGTTTTTCAGAAGTAAGTTTTTCCATAATAAAGATATGTATCAAACACGAATTATGAAATTTTTCTTCCGGTGACCTTGAACTTCCCCAAATGACCTTGGGTCAAGGTCATGACACACCCTTGGGTCATGGGCATCTTTGTGTGAAATGAGAACCTACCAAGTTTATCCATAAGAAAGATATGGACCGGACATGAATTATGAAATTTTTCTTCTAGTGACCTTGAACTTCCCCAAATGACCTTGGGTCAAGGTCATGACACACCCTTAGGTCATGAGCAATGTTAGTGTGGAGTAGTAAATTCTAATGTCCCTCTGTAAGAAAGATATGGACCGGTGTCGCATAATATTCGTTCCGGGTATTTCACGTTCCGGCCGGAACCTTAAAATCATAATATTGGTTCCGGATTTTACTGTAATATAGGTTCCGGCCATGAGTTCAATCTTCGAATCGCGGTATCTGTCCAGATTTCATTCCACATTGAGTCATGGATTTAGTGGGGTTTTTTCTTGAGGTTTTAGCATCACGCAGCGACATTCTATTTTCGTGCATCGCGCAATGTTTTGTACTTAGCAATTTTAAAAAATAGATGAATAAATAGCCTGATGATACTCTTTCAGATACATATGACTTTGGTCGCATTATAAGGCTTTGTTTATCTTATGTATACAAATCGGTTATCTACAACTCAATTCCTTTTGTTTATTTAGTGCATGCCAGGTGTGAATCTCTCGCTTCAATGCGCGCAAACCCGTAAAGACAGGTTAAGAGCATGGTTAGGAGATAAACAATTTAAGACCGGGTTTACGAAAGACTAACATTTAAAGAAACACAATGTCAAAGAATTAATTAATTGATAAATTTTTTATTTCAGAATTCGATAAAAGTAAAGAACAAATATTGATAATTATATATTTACGGAATTAAATTCTCTGTTTAAATGATATTACACGTGTTGACAAGTCGAGGCTCAAACACGGCTTCCATTCCTCATAATTAAAGTTTTTTTTTCATAATTAGATATTATTGATGAAATGGCATGATATATGGTTTATATTCCATTTGAAATATGTATATGATTCACTGTTGAAGAATGTTACGTATATTTTATTTGGTTTATTTTCTTCTAAATTAATCTTCATACTACATGTAGGTACAGTACATGTATTTCATGATGATGTGATTTATTCTGTAATGAAATAAACATGAAAACATAAGAATATGAGTATGGTTTATTCCCTTTAATACCAAAAAGCCAAGCATGTGTAGTTAATGAAAATGATAATTTTTTTAATCGTCGGAAGAAAAAAAAATAGTAATTGAGATATGAAAAGTAAAGACAGTATATGTTGACTGGCTCGGCTTTTTATTTAATACGATCAAGTTTTCAAAAAAAAAAAATTATTTTTTTTTTCTTTCGTCTTTTTTTTCTTTTTTTTTTTTTTTTTTGCTATTTGTTTGTTTTAAAGGAATTAAAATGCACATTAGTGTTACCTCGAGGAATGTCCTAACCACCAACCGCTTAAGATATGTGGTAAAAATAATTATTTCTGCATGGGTGTTTGAATACATAAAACACGATGAAGTTGGTAAAAATATGATCATTTTATACATGCCATTCATAGGCGTCGGAACCGGAGGGGGTGGGAGTAGGGAGGCTTAGCCCCCACTTTTTTTTTTTTTGCAAAAATAGGCATAATATAGACATCGTACATTTGGGCGTAGGTTTAACAACCCCCCCCCCCCCCCACACACACACACACACACATACACTTTTTCAACCGACACTTTGCAGTTGAGTTTAAAAAAAGGTAAATGGTAGTGTTTGGAAAAAATACTGGCACTGGAAGAAGTTCTATCATAACCCCCCCCCAACCCCAACCCCCACGAAATAGAATTTTCGTGTTTAGACAATTGACACATTTTCCTTTTTTGCTTGTCAAGAATTTTTTTTGTAGGTTTGATTTTTTCCTTTCACTTAAGCCCCCCCCCTTTCAATTTGCTTCTGACGCCAATGTCATTATATTGAAATAATCTCTCTTCGGAGAAAAAATATTAAATAAATACATGAAGGTTAAAAAAAAATGTACATTTACACAGGTATATGTAGGTTAAAGGTAAACTGCAATAATGTTCACCCCTTCTCCAATTTAAAAGAAAATGGAGAGTATATTTCAACAGCCCCACAAAATGAAAAGTTGTTTATCAATATTCCAACATTTTGTTATGGGAGAGTTTCAATTATAACAGTTGCAAAAATGTAAAAGTTGTGTTTAATTTTTAATTATTAATTTGCAAAACATGGAATAGAGTTCTATTTATTTTTTTGGAGCATCACTGTTGTAAAATTACGAAGCAGGATCATGGCATATTGTAGTAGCTGCAGATCTGTAGCTCTCCGAAAAAAATAGATCTGTAGCTCTCCGAAAAAAAATATATTGATAGACCGGAGAGCTACAGTGCCACCCATTGAAAAAACTGTATATTTATTGCGCACAAAAAATAAAGTGC